AAGGAGAAGGACAGGAGACCCAGCCACCAGAAGCAGGGCTGGATGGGGGCAGCGGGGCTGGTCAGGGGAGATCGGGAGGAGAAGCAGGGGAGAATCAGCCGGCTGGGAGGGGGTGCAGAGAGTGGGCAGGGTCATCAGGGGGAGCAAGGATGGCTGTGGGAGTCTGGTGGATTGGTGGGGGCAGGGGAGAACCAGCCACCAGAAGCATAGCTGGATGAGGGGAGATCAGGAGGAGAAGAGGGGGGAGGGGCTGGCAGGTAGCGGGACTGACCCGGGCACATGAGTGAGTCCAGCCCTGGGGATTCCATTTTGTCCCCCCCTCCTCCCATACCCTCCCTGAAGTAGTTGCGAACTGCCTGGCTGGTAGACACACGCAGCATGAGCACATCTACCAGCCAGGTAGTTCGCAGCTACGGACTGATACACCTAATAATAATAAAACGTACCTAATTAGAAAATGCCGGACATTTAATATATCTAGTATTTTCTCAATTTGTTTCCCGGACAGAACCCTCAAATACTGGACTGTCCGGTACAAAACCGGACACCTGGCAATCCTACCCTTCCTTGCACCCTCCCTCCTAGCCAGATACCCTACCCCCAATCTGCTCCTGCTCCCACCTCCTGGAGTGCCCATACAGCACCAGGTCCCCCAAGCCCTGGCCCAGGCTGGGTGGAGGATGCAGCCGGGTGAAACACTGAAAATGTATTCATTTTTAATTCTTTTTTTTAAATGTGTTTATATTTTTGGGCCACAAAAAACAGTACTGAAAAAAAAACAGGTTCCAACTAAAGTAAAAAGTTTGGAAAACCCTGGTCTAGCCAGCTTTCTATCCATCTTACAGTCCATTTAGCCAATCCATATTCCCTTAACTTGCTGGCAAGAATATTGCAATAAGCCATATTGCAAGAATATGGCAATAAGCTTTGCTAAAGCTGGCACTGGGGGCTTTGGGAGGACCAGAAACAATTGATTTCAATAGTCATCATTTACTTAATGAATATGCAAATATGCAAATTAATGTTACCAGTCCTCCAAAAGCTCGTGAATGGATTTACTGGCCTCCGTGTCAAAAAGTTTGGGAACCCCTGCGCTATGCAATTTACACTACGCAAATTGAATAGCTTATTCTGAATCTAGGTTGAAATTTCAAAATAAGGCACCATTCTGACAAACCCCTTAACCCTCGTGGAATGAAGGTTACAGGGAGGCTGGAATAGCACATCCGCTATTTCGGGTAATAGCGAGCGCTTTTAAAGATGAGGCTTTCCTATTTTGGGATACAAGTGTGAAAAACCGGGACAGGGACTAGGGAATAATTGGCACCTATATAAGACAAAGCCTCAAATATTGGGACTCTTTCTATAATACTCATCGTAGAATAGACATTCGTGTTAAAAACAAAACAAGTGTCTTCGGATATTATGAGATGCAGCTTGGTCATGCTCAGAAGTCCTGGAAGTCAATTTTAACAACACAAAGAGCCATTAGACTGACAGGACTACATATTTCAGTGCATAGCTGAGATGATGGAGAAGGGAAGAGGAATTTAGATTTATTATGAACTGGGGAATCTTTTGTGGAAGGAGAAGTCTATACAGGATGGATGGGCACCACCTAAATCAAACGAAAGTGTGATCTTTTTAATGTTATACGCATGCAAACTAGAAGTGGCAGGAAGCCAACAGCTCAAGTCCCGCCCTCCCTCTCTCCCATGAGGGACAGGACATCCAACACCCAGGCCGCCCCGGTGTAAGGTGTCATAAGAGACACCCTGAAGCTAAGGAGGTGGGGTGGCCTGGGAGATAGGAGATACGGTTTGGACAGAAAAATCCCATGGGAAGGATCCATTAACCAGGATTCTCTGTATCCTAGTAAAAATAAGAGGCTAAAAGTTGATAAAGTACAGGTAAAAAATGAAGAGAAAGTTAAATGAAAGAGTCCCCATTCAATTACATCATGTGATGGTGAACAACAAAAAAGTAATTTATTTTATAAGTGCTTGCATACAAATGCTAAAAGCTTAAACATGAAGATGGGTGAACTTGACTGCCTGGTATTAAATGAGGGTACTGATATAATAGGCATCGCAGAAACTTGGTGGAATGATGGCAGTCATTGGGACATTGCAATACCAGAGTATAAAATACGTAGGAATGACAGAATAAGTCGTGTTGGTGGTAAAGCTGCACTATATATGAAATAAAGCACAGAGTCAAATAGAAGCCTTAGATGAATCAAGCTGTAGCATGGAATTGCTATTGATAGAAACGTCATGTGATACAAGATGAGTACAGTAGTAGGAACATAATACCTATCACCTAACCAGGATGGTAATGGTGAGTGTGAAACATCAGGGACATTGGCAGGATCTGTAAAAACAGAAAATTCAATAATAATGGGGGAATATCAGCTCTCTCTACACTGGAAATCCTATCACCTCAGGACAGGATTCAGAAATAGTTTCCAGACACTATTAAAGACCGGATCTGGTCTAAGAGGTAAATATAGTTGAACTACTTAGTAATAGCAACCATAATATAATTAAATTTAAATGTAAACAATCTTGCGTGGAAAAAATATCAAAGAAGTCTACCACAGTAGCATTTAACTTCAAAAAAGGAGACTACACAAAAAATGAGAAAGCTAGTTAGATGGAAATTAAAAGTAACAGTCATAGGAATGAAATGCCTACAAGTGGAGTGGAAATCATTTTAAATATATGTTTAATCTGAGCCTCTAGTATCATGTATCACACATTAAAAAGAATAGTAAGAGGACCAAAAAAATGTCACCCGGCCTAGGCGTAAAAAAAGTGGTTAGAGGCAAAAAGGAATCCTTTAAAAATTGTAAGTCAAATCCTACTGAGAAAAACACAAAGGAGCATGAACTCTGGAAAATTAAATGTAAAAGCAGAATCAGGGAATCATAGAATACTAGAACTGGAAGGGACCTCAAGAGATCATCAGGTTCAGCCTCCTGACCTCATGGCAGGACCAAGCACCATCTAGAAGATCACCCTGATGGATGTCTATCCAATCTGCTCTTAAAATATCTCCAGAGATGGAGATTCTACAATTTCCCTAAGCAATTTATTTCAGTGTTTAACTACCCTGACAATTAGGAAGTTTTTCCTAATGTCCAACCTAAACCTCCCTTGCTGCAATTTAAGCCCATTGCTTCTTGTCCTGTCCTATCATCAGAGTATAATTAAGAAGTCCAAGAAAGGATCTGAAGAACCAGCAAAGAATTCAAAATCTAACGGCAAACACATTTTAAAGTATATCAGAAGAAGGGAGCCTGTCAAACTATCAGTGGGGCCACTGATGTGATAAAGGAGCACTTAAAGACGAGACCATTCAACAAGGCCATTGTGGAGAAGCTAAACAAACCCCATGCCCCTTGCTCGAGGCTTAATTTTAACATCACAGTCGAGCCCTTAATAAATGCATTAACACTAAACACGATACACTACCTTTCAGGTGCTATGAACACCAATTCTTCAGCAGATGTTTCAAATGACATGTTGGTTATATTTGTGTGCTTGTGTCCTGATGCTTTTATTTTTGTTATTCTATATATTTTGGAAGCATTATTTGAATAACTCATGGGAAAAAATTGCATACTGCTTTGTTCATAAGAGGAAAATACTGCTTATTTACTTTCTGAATACTCTATGACTCTGTCAGTTAATTGAACAATGTACAAAGATTTGTACATCATAACTTTTGCAAAATACTGAATTACAATAATCATGAACACAAGAACATGTTTAAAACACAATATTTTACACACATTACTCACCATTATTACATCATATCAATTTCTGTATGAAAAGTAATAAGCAAGATACACATGATCATTCCCTCATTACATGTTTTTCATATACCACTTAATTTGGACTAAGTGAAAACATCAGACTTTTCCTGGACATGTACAGAAGAGAGAACTATTAGTGGGGTCTATGCATGACATCAAATGGAGGATTTAGATACATTTTGGCTCCTCTATTGCCAAGTCACTGAATACTGCTCTAGTCCAGGGAGTAATGCAGAGCAGTTCTGGAGCTGCTCTAATTTGTACCAGCTGCAACTTCCTTCAAGGGCTTAACAGAATGCAAGACTGATCTGAGCATATTCCTTTTCTTCTCAGATTTAATACAGCCAAAGAACTTTCCCTCTGGTGTGAAAGCAAAATGATAGAAATGATCTCATACAAGAGTCCTTAAGGCCTTTAATTTTTTCTAGTCTGAATAGGCAATATTTTTTTAAAAAGAAGATAGAAGAATTTGAACACTTGAAACTGACATGTAGAAAGAATAATATATATGCACATATTCATTTTTCAGCTAGATCTACATGTCATAAAATGATTACAAACTGATTTCTTACCTGGGGATATTATGTAGAAGAAATCTTTAAACTCATCCATCCAGACTTCTGCTAGTCTTCTGTTGTTTTTATTGATAACATGACCAGTGCCACCAGGAAAAGTATAAGGAGTTGCCTTACGAAACACATGTCCAACGTGAGAGCATGTTACAATCTCCAAGGAGCCTCCACACTGCCAAATCTGAAATAAGGCAAAATATTTGAAATCACATATACAAAATACCTTGCAAAAATTCTGCTGCAAGAAGCAGCTGGTTCTAAGAAAATGATTTTTTCCACCTTGGAAGTATATAGAGCATTGAGGGGCAACCAAGCTAGTGAGTGGGCTCCATGAGTGGTCCTCCTTCATTTCAGAAGCCCACAAGATTGTCTTACAGTATGGCATCCCAAGATAGGGTAGTGTCTCTACTTGCACTTGCATACATAGCAGCTATTGATTGGATACAGAGAGCACACAGCTTTCACAGTCAATATTGTGTGCAATCAGCACACACCTTACTTCATATGCCCTTGTTTCAATGTGTGTCACTTTAATAATACCAATAGGGGAAAAAAACTTATGCGGACGAAAACCAGCAGAATCTTAACAACCCTAGACATGGGCAATGATAAATGTCTCATGGGCCACACAACTCCAATGGGATGATACAGAGAGTTATAAATCAATTTTCATACAGCGTGGACTCAATTCACTAATGATAAAGTATGTGCAAGACCACATAGACTTTAGTCATCTTGTGCAAGCTTACCTGACTGGTAGACATAGCCCTATCACTTAACACACACACTTCTAGCACCCTAATTTATGAATGCTATAATTATGCTGTGCACTAGGATTGAATTTAGGATATCAGAGATGTTTCTGTCTTTTTAGTTCACTCTCCAATTCATAATGTTTTATAACCCTAGAAAAGAGATTTGGTAATTTTTACTGGCATTGTGCTTTTGGCCACTTAGAAGATGGTGCAATGGTTCTTGATCATTCTATTCTATTCTATAAATACAAAGACACCATAGTCAACATCCTGCTACACACATGAAATACTAGGCCAAAACATATGCTCCTTGGGTCCAAAACCAGAGTCCTATATATGGTGAGCTAGGCAGCTCAACTACCTTAAGCTATTAAGAAGAAACCTATATAAACAGAAGAAAATCTGATAACCCCATTAAGTGGAAACTACTGGTTTATCTAGAGTCCTGGAGCCAAATTTTGTATTCAGTTACATCAGCATAATTCCAGTGGATTACACCGGTATAAATGAGGGGAAAATGTGATCCTAGGCTTTTAATATTTCATCTGTTCTGCAGACTTAACAACACTGAATAACAGTGAGTTCTAAAAAACAGCCACCAGGAGGACCAACATAATTTTAAGGTTCTTGGACTATTCATGGGTCAGTGTATTACATCTTCTTGCCTGTAATCTTAGTGCTCCTCCCCAGTCTCTGTGCAGGAGACTTGAGGAGAGAATAGTTTCTTCCTTCATGTCTCCCTTCTGCTTCCCAGCACTGTCTCTGGAGCTGCCAAGGAGCCAAAATTAGGGTATCAGCTCTCAATGGCTGATGTATATTCCTGTCTAAAATGATAACTTTTTAACATTAGATTCCAATAATCTAATTTCTGATTGAGTGTGGTAGATCTCATTGAGAATAACCTAAATAATCAGATTTTTCCTCTCAACCTCTTGGGCTGTTTGTAAAAAAGCATTGGGAATATTCAAAAATCTTTAACATATTTTTCTGGGGAGTCATAATTCACTCCTCCTATGTTTTAGTATTCAATAGCCCTACAATTTGGAAGAAAAATACCACTCTGGTCACAGACATTGCCTGCCAGTTTTGAAGCTGTGATTTAATGTGAATTTCAGAGGCATGGAGTAGGGGGAAATGAAGGGCAAGAAGGAATCACATTTACAACAAAAATATTTACAATCTTAAGTATGTAGTGCTACTGCCACTGCATAATCTAGATTGACATGATTCCAGAAATTGAAGCAGTTTAGTAGTGTCACATTTCTAATATAGCATTTTCACTCTATCAACTAATTACCTCTGCATAAATCTATAATGTGGTTACTACAATTATACTTCTCTCAGTTTTTCACCTCCCAATGCTTACTCATATCCCTTAGTACTACTCCCTTCTCCATATTGCCTATATTATGCAGTTTCTTTGGAGCTCATACTTCATTGACATTCATTCCTTTTTGCTGTAAGCAAAAGGTGGCAGCAACCATCAGACTCTTCAAGGTTCTATTTCCCCATATGTATCACTTTGACTTTCCTCACCTGACAGCATAGTTTATTAAATGAATTTACAACACCTCCTAATATTATAAATACATACATGCATGCATATATACAAACAAAACTTCCTGGAATCTCTGTGAAGAGAACTGTTACTTTTTTGTAATTGGGACTCCTTGGAATAGACATAATGAACTGCAGGAATAGAAATGTTGTTGCCATAGTAACGATGTAGCTCTTATTTGATTAGGGCTAAACCTTATGGTATAATTTCACTAAATAATGTATTCTGGAGGGGTCAGCAATAACGACGGAACATTCTTGCATTTTATATTCAATGACAATTAGTCAATATAGCTGAAACTTCAAGTCGACATTCTACAGAACAGTTGCTAATTTTTTTTTAAAAAAAGGGAATGCATGTGAATATTTAAATATTGCTGTCTTTATTTATAAACCAACACCAAAATACTATATTTCATTTATTTCAACATTATGCCTCTCATTAAGCACCAACACTGAAATACACTGTTAGTGTCACATTATTCTCCATTCCTCCTCCCACGGATTATACTCTCTACCAGGAAATTCCCACGATATTTGTTTTAAACCTGTATTCTGAACTTTTCATTGCCCTGATATAACCTCTTCTCCAGGAAACTTTGCATAGGATTACAGAGGTGTCTACTTCCCATTGTGAAGAATATAATTTTAACCTTTCAGTCTTTTTTTGTTCCTTTTGTAAACTGCTTTAAAGGAAATGGACTACTATCATCATATAAGACTATATGGAATTTGTATAGACTTGACCATAATTGGGATGACAAGCAACCTGTTAGTACTTTGTTTTGATCACTAGCTAGTCATATAACTGCAGTTGAACACACCTTTGGGTGGGAAAGAAGTCTGGAATTGTGCAATTATATGACCAGTAAGTGAACTCTGCTTCACACTACAATAATTTCATTTCTTTCAGTGACATTTTACTAACTGGCTACAACTCCTTTCATTTAACTTACTGTATAGTAGGACTTTAATTTCAATTTATGTCTGGAGGTTCTGGGGGTTTTGTTCTACAGCCTCCTTCAAGTGAAGGCATATAAAAATGTAATGGAGAGATTCTATTCTTGAGTTTTGTGTTATCAGACCTATTAATGCCCTGCCCCCATTAATGCAGTATCTAATTGCCACTCGATCTTTTAAAATATATTTATCCACCCAACATCCTTGGAGGTAGGGAAGTGCTATTATTCCAGTAACTTTCACATAGTGATAATTGACTGGATTGATAAGTTAATAAGTAAATTCATTTAGTTGTGTCTGAATATTGGTGACATCATAGAATTTTCAGAAGCCTTCATGGTTCATTACTAATTTTGAACACTCAGTAGCAACCTTCAACTGATCTGCTGCACCATCCATCCACTTGCTTCTTATCCCCTACTACCAAGGCCCTTCACCTTTCCTTCCATAACAATTTTCTCAAGATTATTTCCATCTCTGTGACTAATGTGACCAAAGTACATAAGTTTATATCTGCTGATTTCCAACATCAGGATTTGCTCCTCTCCAATAATATTTCTAATATAGGCATCATCTTTTTTGCCATCCAGGAGACAAGCAAAAGTCTTGACCAGAAGCATATTTCTAAAGTTTCAATTTTCTTCTTGAGAGCACCATTAACTTCCCACTGTGTCAGCAGATCTTCCTATTTAAAATTGTGGGCCAAATATTCAGCACGCAATGCCTTACCTGGAGAGCAGGCTGAGAATGATAGTGAGCCCCCTATGAGCCCTCTTCACGGACCTTATTCCTAGCGCCTCCCACCCAGAGACATCCCTCCACAGAATGGGGCCCAGAGCAGAGCCCTGTGTGGACCCTAAACTGTGTGGTTTGGGGCCCATCAACAACCCCAGCTTTGGACCCAACCCTTGGGGCCATCAGGCAGCCTTGATCCTGGAACCCCATCTGGCTGCCCTGAACCTCTGCCATGCCTGGGCAGCCGAAAACCCAGACCTCAGTACTTGGGCCCCATAGCCTTTAGCATTCAGGTGGGTCACAACTGTATGCCAACTTGGCTGCATGTGGCCCACAGGTGGCGAACTGCTGCACTCATCACATTCACAAATTGCTATGGAAAAGCCCACCTTCTTCAACTTTGCCAAAACTTCCCTGGATTAACTACTACAAGTAGCAGTAGCAGTAGTAGTAATATTGTAGTGCCCAGGAGACCTAATGATAGGCCAGTACAAACACAGAATAAAAAGACGATCCTTGCCCCCAAAAGACTTCCATTCTAAGCAAAAGACAAGTGAGAACAAATAGCCAGAATAACAAACTCACTTGCATGCTATGATATGAAGGGACCATTCAGATGTATAAAAAGTCTCATAAACACCATGATTTATCCTGCGACCCAAATGAGAACCTAATGCAAAACTTTGTCTATAACTGTCTTCACTACCCCACCGCCTCTTGAGAAGCGGGCAGCTGGAGTCAACACCTGTCTGAAGTCTCTTGTGGTCTACAATATAGCATGTCAGTGTTTGAGCCCGAAGGTGAAAAAGGTGTGAACAATGACAATGCCCATATTGGGAACGGCTGCAGTCACATAGATGATAAAAGACGTTTTGGGCTTTGGCTGCTGAGAACAGCATGGAACCAAAGTAGCCCAGAATGGAAACCAATGTGATAAAAGATGTGCACACCTTGCTGATAAATGATGAAGAGCCTGACTCATCCCACCACTTCATGTTTTCTCCTTCCATAAAACATCATTTCTTGCTTTGACTTGGTACTGTCAAGACAGTTCACTTACACACTAGCAACCAACCAGAGGGACCTGAATATATCTTGCACTCTATGAATATCCAAAAGTGAAACATCTCCAACATGCTGCTGTCTTTTATAGCATAAATCACTCTGATCTATT